GCGGCTGGTCCAGGAGCCCGCCACCCTGCATTCATCTCAGGCCACAAGGCCATCCCTCACCAGCTGTCTCAGCTGAGTGGCTGTGGATGATGGCCGTGGTGCACTTCTAGGAGGACATGCTCAGGGCTCAGCCACTTTTGGGTCAGGCCCCCGGGTGCACCAGGCCTATGGACAGTACCTGCCGAGCATGTCTCAGTAGAGAGGCTGGGAAGCAGCGCCCTGTGGCCTGGGCTGCTCTGGAAGGCCCAGCACTCTTATAAAACCAGAGAAAGAGTCCCGAGCTCTCCCTGCTGGCGGCCCCATCACTGGGGTTCCAGGCCCATGCAATTACTTCAATTTGTAAATAGGCCAAAAATGCATTTATTTTTAAATACAACCTAAGGAGTAAAAATAGATTACATTCTATTATTAAAAGAATAAGGTGTGCCGAGCAGGCATACAGAATAAACTGCTGATGAGACCTGGGACTGAGTGGTGGCTCTTTTAGAAGTCTGGGCCTCAGTTTCCCCACATGTAAACAAGGCCCCCACCTTTGCTCAGCTGGGAGTGAATCTGAATGTTCCGAGGAGACCCTGTTCTGCCATCTCCTCACAGCCATCCCTACTCTGCCTCCTTTCTCTGCTGGAAGCACAAATATATTTATTTATTCTGTTTTTCTATTTCTTGCACTGGAAACTCCTGAAATAGAACAGGAGGTGGGACTGTGAGTTGAGGTCCCAGGGTAGAAGCTCTGCTCTGTGGGCCAGGTTCTGTTGCCCTGAGGTCACAACCTGGCCCTATACCCACAGGTCACAGAGACCAGCCCTGGGTCTGGGATAACGGGCCCTTCTGGAAGTATGGGGATTGCGGGACGCACTCTCGGCCATGCCACCTGGATTCCTCACCTCTGCTGTAGGCCCTGGCACTAATGGGAGGCTTGGGAACCCCTGCAGTGCTGCCCTGGGGATAATACTGGCCGTGTCCACAGCAACCTAGTGGCCCTAGACCTGGGGAATGGCTCCCCTCAGGGAAGGTGCTGGGCGTGACCTCATTTCCGGAGGCCTCCCTGACACATGGGGCCAGCTCAGAATAGACTAGCTCTGGGCTTCATAGAATATGTGCCCAAAGGAAGGACCTTGGAAAGCTTCTGTCAGGCAGGCCCATTACCAGCTGGTATGCTGGCAGCTCAGCGATTCCACTACCCTGGACAGACAGGTAGACAAAAGGGTCAGAAAGACAGACAGCACTGCTCCCCACACCATAAGACCAGAAGCTCCTGAGGATGATAGCTCCTGGAGGCCAGGCACCAATCTGTGTCTGAACTGGGGCAGGTGGCTGTCAGCAGACTTCCACCCCAGGGCTCTTGGCCTCAGACCAACCTTCTTGTTCAAACTAGTTGGGCCCAGCAGCCACCAACAGACTTCATGGGCCCCCAGCCTGCCTGCCTCTGACTCCCCTGACTGCAACCTTAGCTCAAACCTTGACCACAGGCCAACATATGGGGACAAAGACAGGCAGTTGGGCCCTGAGCCCAAATTTCAAACTCATCTATTTATTCAGCACATTATTTACTGAGCACTTGTCAAGTTCTAAGCACAGTGGAAGGGTAAGTAAACAAGATGAAGCAACTCTTGAAATTTATATTTTGATAAAGGGTAACCAACAAAATCAAGCAGATAAGCAAAGTGTGACAAGGCCTCCGAAGGCAACATCCTGTTCACTGCCTTTAGGTGTGGCAAGGTCTGGGCGGCAGCTGGTGGAAAAGCCTTGCAGGCAAAGAGCAGAAAATGCCAAGGGCCTGAGGCCAGAGAAACTTGCCTTTCCAGAAAACAAGGGCAGCAGGCCTGGTGGGCTGAAGGCTGGGCAGAGAGAATTTAACGAGGCTGCACAAGGTCCTGGACTTGATCCTAAGACCAAGGTGAAGAAGTCATTGAAGGTTCTGAAGCAGGGAATGACATGTCTGGATCTATCTTTAAAAGCACAGCTCTCAGGCCTCCCTGGTGGCACAAGAGGTTAAGACACAGCACTATGAAGCTATCAGCAGCCACTGCAGCATGAGTTCGATCCCTGGCCAGGGACCCACATGGTGCTGCAGACCTCTCCCATCTCGCCCGCTGCTCCCCTCAGCAGTGTATTTCAGTAGATCCACCTGTTCTGCACCCCACTATGTCTCTGGCGAATCTTCTCATGCCCCCATACCTCTGGCCTACACACCTACTCTTGTATGCATAAATCTTTTTTTTAAAAAAAGCATGGCTCTCTCCTAAGTGGGGGTGGAGTGGGATGGGGAGCAGTTGGGGGCCCTGTTGGGACGGTGCAATGCAAGTGCAGTGGCTCCTGCAGACGTACTCCTCGGGGACTGCTCAGTGTGGCTGGAGGGTGTTTCTTCCCTGTGATTTCTTTCTCCTCTCTCCCATCCCTACACCTATCATGGCCACAGTACCCCAGACGTGCTTGTGTCAAGACCCAGAAAACACAATCAGTCTGCACAGAAGTCCTTTCCAGTTCTTATTTTCAGAAGTTCAGTCCCAGATGAGGGAAGACTGCAGTGGTCTGAACAAATATTTCTTAAATGGAGTGGTCGGTGCACAGATACTCACTTATGATTATTTTTTAAGCTGTGCCTATGCATTACTCGTTGTCTGGTGTGTAACGATGTCTTGTACAATCTTTGAAGAAAATAGGTGTGGTTATTTCTTGTAAGACCTGAGTGTTGAGCTGAGATACAGATTCTTCATGATCTGCGCCACTCCCTTAACCAGGGAAAGCCACAGTTTGACCCCACTGTACCCCCAGGACATGCTCTCTGCTGTATGATGATGAGTGACAAGGAAATGTCAACCTACCCACGAGCTACAGTCTCTGTGTTTTATTTCTGCTTGAACAGGGTTTCAAGATGTGCTCATGAATATTTGCTCTGACAACTACAGAGAGCAGGACTGCTGTGTAGAGACAAGTAAAACCACCTGTAAATTTGCCTTGTGCTTACTTGAGAAAACAATGGGAAACAGCAGCCTGTCAAGGCCAAAGTCACAGAACAAATCAGGCACAGTCCTAGCCTTGAGGTAAGAATTTTCATCTCTGTCATGTTGAAATCCCTAGTAACAGCCCATAGAGTAGCTCTGTAAGCCACCCCCCCACCAACCCCAGGCAGTCAACTGGCTGTTCAATGAGCCTCCAAAGTCAAGGTCAGTCACAAGGTGGGTTCAGTTTGCAGCTGAGAGTGGAGCAAGAGCTCTTTGGAAAAGTCCCCCTGGGAAGATGCCCCTCCCCCAGCACGGGCCTGGCAAAGACTTTCTGAGACCAATTTGTTTAATGGATTTAATTGTCTCATAATAAACTGTGAGGGAGGAGCACGTTTCCTTCGAAACTTCTCGCAGTAAGAGACAGCATGCATATTGAATTAAATTGGCTGTGCATGAGGATGGCCCTGCTGGTGAGGAGCCCGCAGCCTCCTTAAGGACAAGCTCACCTGTGTCTCCTTCCATTTGCCCCAAGAGTGAGGTGGCTGGGTAGGCACACTGGGGGTAGATGGCTGGCACATGTTTTTAGCCCCAATCTTTATCTCCAACTCTGACCTATAGCAACATCCAATTGCCTGCTACACTGTGCCACTAAAATGTGTTCTGGACTTCTCAAATTTGTGTTCAAAATAGAATTCTTGATCCTCCCCCCGAACCCCTCAACCCTGTTTTCTTGCCCGCCCCCATCCTCCCATCTCCATAATAGCATCCGTCACCTTCTCAGGTTCAAAATCTCAACTTATTTTCTTTTTAAAATTAAGATATAATTTACTTGCCATAAAAGTCACCCCTGAAGTGTACAATTTGGTGTTTTTTAGCATATTCATGGACAACCATCATCACCGTCGATTTGAGAACATTATTTTTCTCCCTAGAAAGAACCTCCGTCCCGTTAGGAGTCAGCTCCCCTTTTTGCCAGGGCTCTTGGCCAGTCACCAGCTCAAACTGTGCCTTTGGCTTTGCTGATTTTCTCTGCACTATTTTATCTCTACTCTAATCTTTACTATTTCCTTTATTCTGCTAGCCTTGGGCTAGTTTGCTCATCTTTTATTGGTTCCTTAGGTTGTGAAGTCAAGCTGTTAATTTGAGATCTTTCTCCTTTTTATTTTTTTATTTTTTTAAAAGATTTATTTATTTATTATTCATTCATTTATTCATTTATTTAATTGTACAAACACTGGGTACAGTCAGAAGCGCGGGAGGGCGAGAGAATTCACCAGAGCCAGAGCGGGGAGCAGAGCAGGCAGAGTGACGAAGTACACTGCTGAGGGGAGCAGCGGGCGGCAGGAGAGGTCTGCGCGCCATGTGGGACCCTCCTCCGGTGGCCGGGGAGCAGCCGGGGATCGAACCGGCGCTGCAGAGGCTGCGGGCAGCTTCGCAACCCAGCGCTCAACCGCTGCGCCACCGGGGAGGCCCCTTTTTCTCCTTTTTAAAAATCAATATCTCTAGCCACACATTTCCCTATTAGCACTGCTTTCACTGCATTCTGATAGGTTTTGGTATGTTGTGTTTTCATTTTATTCATTGCTAAATATATTATGATTTATCTTGTGATTTTTTTCCTTGACCTGTTAAGAGTGTGTTTTTTATTTTCCATATATCTGTGAGGCAAATGTCACAGGTGTATTCACCTGTAAATGGGGAGTTGCTTTTTCAGGGGCTCTTAGTAGGGTTAAATGAGATGTGTGCCAGAGAACCCACAGAGCAGGTGTTGAGCAGGTGTCAATTAGCCAAGCTCAATGAGAAAGGGAGAGGATGGATGGACCAGGGACAGAGAGGCTGCAGGGCAGGGCCTTTGGGGCCTGGAGTTGGGCAGGAGGTGCACACCCTCCTCCAAGTATGTCTGATTCTCCCTGAGCCATCACCTGCAGGCCTCTGGCTGTGCCCACTGCAGCCAGGCCCAGGCTAACCAGAGTGGCCACCATTCTGCTAGGGGGTGCAGAGCCCCACCCTCCCTGCCCTTAGCCCCAGACACAGAGAAAAAGTCACCAAGGCATTTTCCAGTGCACTTTAATCAAAATTCCATCATCAGAATTCTGGTAGCATACAGTGTTGGGATGGGCATGTCAATTCGGTCCTACAAATGGAATTTCCACAGATTTGCACTTCAAACATGTATGAAAAATAAAATATATAATATTTAGCTTTATAAATTTCCCCACTTCATCATTTCATCCTAAAAATAAATGACTACCTCTGTCCAATAAATTAAGCAAGCCTGGCGTCACGAAGCAAACATCAACCAAGTAACATCATTTCCTGAACGAGGTCTGGGGGGAAATACTTGATGGAGACGGTCCGATGTTTACAAGAATCAACATGAATTAAAAGCTAGCACTTCTTCACAGTGGGGTGACATTAAAAAGTGGGAGCCTGTTAATGACTGTTCTTTTCTGTTGGGAAAAAGTAAACCCCCCAAACTATACCAAATGGCTGTAAAAGCTGCAACTGAACTTTTGGCACCAGTTGAGAAAAGAGGTCTTTTGAAGCCATACCCAGCGATGATTCTGTCAAAGCATGGGTCTGAGGGGGAGGTGGCGGGAGGGAGGGTGGCCCCGGCCCTGCTCCATTCCAAGTTCCCCTCTCAGCTCCACTCTGGGGCCACGGATGCCCCCTCCACCTTGGAGAAGGAGGCCTGCCCTCCTCAAGTTCAAGAGTTCCTGGGATGGGTTGATTCACAGCATGAAGAACACCTAGAGGAAGGCCCTTCTGCAGGGTCGGCAGCAGAGGTGGGACCTGCTTTGCTGCGTGCTCGGTGGACAGCAGGGTGTACTGAACACACGGGGGACACGGCCACTCCAGCAGACAGCTGCACAGTCGTTAAAGGGGACGGACAGAGGGAGCACAGGAGACACCAAGGATCCGAGAGGGCAGGCAGGGCAGGGGGCATTTACAGGAGCTCTGAGCAGGGCCTCAGGACTACAGTCCCTGCGGGGCAAGAAGTCCAATACTGGCCCACCTGCAGCTCAGGGTTCTCTAGGGGATACTGTCTCTACCCCCCTAAAGTGACAAAATCTCGGTAACAAACAAACAAGCTGGTGACAAATGCTGCCACAGAGCCTCAGTCTTTGAGATTCCCTGGGAATGGGACTTGGGGGCCCAGCTCATTCTAGCAAGAAAGAGGTTTATGCACAATTTAACTGGGGAGGAAGTGACCCCACACTTCCAACAGGATGGGCCCAACTCCTTGCCCCCGTGGAGGGGAAGGTGGCTACAAGTCAAGGAGCCGCTCCTCACAGGTCTCCACGGGCCACTTGGAGGCTCCTCCGAACACGTCCACATTGTTGTCCACCCAGGGGATGATGTTGCCCGGCATGTTTGTGGAGCAGTTGGCAATGTTGATAATCTCTTGGGCACGAAGGACACGGTCCCAAATGTTGAACTGGCTGAGCTCCCCGACAAATGCCTGTGTGGCATCAAACCTGCCCCCAACGGTGTCCTGGGAACAGGGACAGAAATCTGCATCAGTTTAGGTTCAAAGGCAAACTCTCCCCTGTTCTGTGAGTGGCTCCTGGGGATGGATGCCAGCCTGTGGGGAGGCTGTGGCGTGGGCATTTTTCTGACCCCTCAACTCTGGCCACATTCCCTGACCACTGATTCTGCAGGTTCTGGGGTTCTGGGCAAGTTGGAACTGGCAATTTCCCTCAAGCCACTTCATCTTACAGAGGGGATACTGAAGCTGCAGAGGGGAGACACTTGCCCAAAATTCCAAAGGGAGGCCTACCTGGGTCTCCCGGGCCCCAGCCCTCCCAGGGGAGGAATAACCAGGACATGTGGAGGGAGGGGCCAAGGAGGAGCTCCAATGCAAAGTCCCCAAAGCACCCAGATCTATGCCTTCACTTTCTGACAGCAAACCTCAAACACGGACTCAAATGTCAACTCTTCCCCATCCAAGAGCAGACAACCAGCTTAGGTTTCCTCTCTCTCAGACGGCAACTTTCTTGAAGGCCCCTCATTCTCCCCTTCCCTTCCCATCTCCCCCGCAGGGCTGAGCACTGCACAGATGCTGGCCAGCAGCCACAGAAGATGCAGTACCTGCCCCACCCCCAGAGTCAACACTGATAGGCAGAGGCCAAAGCCCAGAGCTAAGACCCTGGCCAGTCCTGCTCCCCAGAAACACCATTCTGAATTTATCTGAACCCACCACACCAACCTCACTGCTCGTCCTCGGTCCCTCAGTCCTCAAGACAGTGTGGGTTGAGCTGGCAGGACCTTGCCCATCCAAGCTGGCCACCATGCCAGTGGCGATTGGGGTGTGGGGCCTGGCCTGTGCCGCACAGCTGGCTGGCAGCTGCACCCATGCCCCTGGAAGGGTGCAGGCCCAAACTACAGCCTGACTGTACCCACCTGCTCCTGCCCTAGGATCAGAACACCCCCCGGCTTGATGGGGTGCCAGGGGCCAGGTTCTCCCCTGTGCCGAGCTTCTCCCCATCCTGGAAAGCTTCCCACATGCCGTCCCGTGTTGTCCAGGTTACACAGATGTGGTGCCACTTGCCGTCGCTGACAAACAGGGGCAGCTGTGCAACCTGTGGGCAGCAACATATGGGTGAGCTCCCCCCCACAGGCTCCCAGAAGTCAGGGCCCACTACTGCCCCAGTACCCACAGTCACTCCTGGTCTCCCCTTCTCTGCGTGGGTAAGGTGCCCCAACCTCCCACTTCAGAAAGGTCCTCAACAGGAGTTACCATGTGTGTGATAGACACTCAAGCCAGGGCCTAGCGCAGCCCCGCTTTCAGCTGGACACTCTTGGTCCCTCACCTGAGGAGGGTCCCAGATACCAGGCAGCCTGACAGGACAGATGTGTGGACAAGCCCCATGAATGCCTCATGCCCAGGCCAGGGATCTGCAGACGTGCACACGTGTGTGTGTATGTGTGCCCCCAGGGGTGTGTGGGGGCGCACACCGGTGGGCCCCACTCAGAGCTGGAGGGTACTGCCGACCTATGGCACTGCTTGTTGGCAGCCCTGTGAACTCTCCACAGACCAGCTCCACGGAGCCTCCAGTTGTTACTGCTGGTCTCCTAGCAACTGACTCTGGCCTCCCAGGAATTGGCTGTTTACAAGATGTCTAAACAGAGAGGAAAACAAGGCCCGCGGCCAGCCCTGCTGTGTCCAAGGGTGCTATTTAGAACCCAGGGACAGGGTCACCACTGGAAGAATTTCAGCAGGCAGATTCCACTGCACCCCCAAGGCAGTGAGTGCTCCTGGGGTCCCGGGAGCCAGGAAGCTAGTGCAGCCACTCAAACTCCTGCCTCCAGCGAGGAGAGTTTGAGGGTGCACTTTTGGCTGAGTCTGATTTCAGAATGAAAGTTTTGAGGTGGCGCTGTGGGCGGGGGCGGTCCTCTGGACTCCAAAACCGAGCTCTTGAGAAGACCACACTCCTGAATGGGCAAGCTAGTTGTCTAATGAAGAGGGACATTTACTCTGGAAGAGGCAAGACTCTAAGGATAGAGAACTCATCGGTGGTTACCCTGGGCTGGGTTGAGGCAGAAGCTGACCACAAAGGGATATGAGGAAATTCGGGGCTGATGAAGTTGTTCCAAATTTTAATTGTGGTGGATACACAACTGTATGCATATGTCAGTAGTGGGCAAATCATACACAAATATGTGTAAATTTTATCTCCATCCCTTCCCATCCCCCAATAAAAGGATGTACTCATAAGAAGTATATGCATGCACTCAGAGACACAAGTGCGTGCACACACACCCATCTGGTACAGCCCTGGGGAGCCCCTCAATGACTGGCCTAGGGACCAGCAATAATTTAGGCTGGCAGGCAGGGACCCCGGCTCATTCTTTTCCTTCTGCCATCTCTGGGTCTGGACCCTCACTTGGCTGCTTCTTGGTCAGACTCATAGCTTGGATGTCCAATGGCTGCAGCTGCCACCCTTAGCCCCTGCCAGTCAGCTACCCAGAGTAGGACTGAGTCAGGGCCAAGCAGACCCCATGGTGAGGGCAGCCACACAGTTGGCCATGGGACTGCCCCAACTTCCACATCTTTGTGCATGGCCTCGGGAAGGCCGGGTGGTGGTGCAGGCAGCCTTACCTTGTCATTGATGAGCAGCTCGATGGGGTTGTTGCCCCACTCTATCAGCACGATCTCATTGGCCTGCCCAGGCACTGCATAGGAGAATGGGGTGCCAATGCCGGGCGAGGCGCTGGACCGCAGCCACAGGCAGATGGTGAAGGCGTACAGCTCGGGCAGTGTTTTTTTGATCTTGCCATACAGGTAGTTTGTGCGGAGAGGAGAGAGACTTTGAATGCATCGGGCGACTTGAACGCACTGTTGCCTGGGGGTTGGGACAGGAGAGAGGCGGCAGTTCATTAGCCCACCGCTCCAGCAGCACCCAAGGTGACAGCTCACCAGGACCCTCCTGCCACAGTGCCTGCTACCAGCCAGATGCTGTTCTGAGTGCTGAAGCTCCAGGTGGAAACAAGAACATCCCCTCCTCAGGGGACTGATGCTCTGGGGGCAAGAAGGCCAGGATACTAGCAGCAGGTGCAAGAGAGAAGGTCAGGCAGCAATCCTGCTAAGGGGAGTGGCGGGGTGGGGGATGTGGGGACAAGCAAAAGTCTGCTAAGGAAGAGAATTTGAGCTGGAACCCATATGCAAACTGGAGGGGAGAAGACCATGCTGAGACCAGTACAATGGCCCCAGTAGGCCCAGGAACACGGGTGGGAGACAGCTGGCACACCTTCTAGGACAGGAAAGAAGCCACTTGAAATCTAGAAAAGAAAGCTGTGGTCCCTTCTGGCTACCACTCCCTATCTTCATAGCCATGATGACTGGAAAGCTGAGTAACAGGCAGGAGAAAGCTGAATTCAGATGTGTGGCTCAATGAAATCAGACTTGGCCAAGTCTGATCCCTCAGTTATTTCCTTGAAATCTTGGTCCCTTGGGCTCCGTTAGTAAGAGCAGGGTGGGGACCCATGGACTTGGCCTTTGAGAGAGAAGTCTTACAGAGACCAAGGACTTGAGAGACACCCATCAAGCCAGGTCACTTCTCAGGTGGTCACCACTGTGACGCGAAGGGGACAGGGCCCGTATCTCTCTTTGCTCCCTGAGAGGAGAGAGTTTAGGGACCATGTCCTGCAGTTTGGTAGAAAAGTGCAGAGGTGTCTCTCCCCACCTAGGTTAACACACAAGATGAGAGCCTCAGTCTTTAGGGGCCCTCCTGGGCCATGGGAACCCCCCTCACATGGCTGTCCCTCTGGCACATCTAAACTCTCTGAAAACAACTGGTAATTTTGAGTGATTTTCAATATAGTTTTAATTTAAGCTCAAAGTTCACAACAAAAGCAAAGGGAGAAAGAGCCCCAAAGGCGTCACAGATTCCACAGTGCACAGAGTACCTTGTAATTCCCTGAGCTGTCTTGGCAAAAGCGTCCCTCTTATTTGGAGACTAGACACAGCTGGGGGTGGGGCCTAAATGCCCTTCATTCATTCAACAAGTGTTCACTAAGCACCCACAGGGCCAGGTGGTCTCACTGCTGTTAAAGACAGGACCCCCAACCTGGCACTGAACTGTTTTGTGTCACCAGTGGGTGAAATCCATCCTTGCCTTGACCTTTCTGTAGAGCCAATGTCAGATGGGTGAACCTTCCTTCTCCACGGTCCCCCAGACCCGCTTCCAGTCATAGCAATAACACAAGGGAGCTCTTCGGCACATGGTTCACACCTACCCAGGAAGACCATCTGTAGAGAGAAGCAGCAGGGCCCGGGACACCCTTCCAACATTTCTGCAAGGGGCAGCATAGAAATCCCAGAAGCTGAGCCTCATGGAGTATTCACTCCTATCTGCTGCCAGTGTGGTCCTGCTTGGCCCATCCTGGCCTCCCACGGCTGGGCACCGCCCACCACCCCTCTCCCTCCACCCCAACACAGCCTGAGGAGCTGCTGAGCACCTAGCTGGGGCAGGAGAGACCTGGTCACCTGGGGAAACCTAGGCTGCATGGGGTCAGGTGTTGACTGGGACCAGCCTCCTATTGGGCTGAAGCAAAACAGAGACAGAAAACCAGAAAACCCCAACTCCCTGATTTCAAAGCTTACACAGCTGAGACACCAAGTGAAGTGACCCACCCAGGTCACACAGCTAGGAAGAGAGAATGAGGCCACCGGAGCTCCCCTTTTCACTACATGCGGCCACTAGTATTTAATCTGTAAGTGGCAAATGGCCATGTTCTTCAGGAAGGCATCAGCATCTAATCAGAGAACGCGCCCATCCTTGGAGGTGGGCAGGCTTGCTCACTTAATAAGGCTCGGTGTCGGTAATATTGTTAGCTTGGTGACAACAGATAGGTTTAATTAGAGCTGAGAGAGCGAGGGGCAGAGGAAGGGGCCTATCCAGAAAGCCAGAACCCTCTATTTATATAAAACAGCTCAGAGGTTCAGAGGAAACTTAGTTAAAACCAATTAAGTAATTAAAAGGCCTGACCGATAAATCAGAGACTGCAGGCGGCAAACAAGGCTAAGGAGGGGCAGCTGGGACCAAAGAAAAAGGGTTTGGACTCAGCACTTCAACTTCAAGGTGGGTGGGGCTGGTCAAATAGCCATTGTCAGGAGGCCCTTGCACTGCGCTGTCTCACAGAAGGAAATGAGCACCCTTGGGCCCTAGGTAGCACATGTGTCCTCATAAGAGCTGGACACTCACCACTGGCCTCAGGAGCTGCCTTCCCAGCAGAGCTCAGCCCACACACCCCTCCAGGCCGCAGTGCCCATGACTCCAGTTGTCCAGGGTCACCATCAACTTCAACCCCAGCTCTATAGCCTGACTCCACCCCTCATCTACCAACTAATACCAACTAATACCTCCCTCCCGGTTGTTGCAGGGGTTACAAAAGATCCAGAATGTGGAACTCACAGCCTAGCATCTGGCCAGAACGGGCACTTAATGGCCAGGGAATGATAGGCTGAGGCCAGAGTCCCCCAGAGCTCCCCATTTTGATCTGTTTCCTCCAGGCTCAGCTGGACACTAAGGAACATGCCTGGTATATCTGGGAGCTGGGAGTTGACATATCACTTACACACTTGTCACAAACAGGCCTCAGGTTTGTCCAGAAGACAAATCAGTCAGCAAATGATCCCTTTCCTCAAAGACTCATCCTAAATTGGTTGGTGCACACAGAGGGATTCTGGAGTTCTCCGTGAGGGTCAAAAGGCAGCAGACAGTA